GCTTGTTGGAATAGCCATGTCTTGAGGGCGCGGCGGAAGGAAGGGAGATCAGGGATCACCCTGATCTCTGGGGGCAGCTCATTCCAGAGGGTGGGAGCTCCCACAGAGAAGGCCCTCCCCCTTGGGGTCGCCAGCCGGCACTGTCTGGCCGACGGCACCCTGAGGAGACCCACCCTGTGGGAGCGTACTGGCCGATGGGGGGGATGTCTAAAAGCACAATGATTAGAAACACACACACACATACAGCAACATGCAGCAAAAATAGAAATGGGATGGGCAGGCTCCATTGCATTCATAACTCGAGGACTACCTGTAATCCATCCAGACTTAAGACAGCATCATGAAAATGTGGCCATCCTTCTCCTAAGCAATACAGGCAATGATGCTATCCCTGCAACTTCAGAAAGGCAGCTGGAGACTCACCTGATGCCAAAACGTTGTCTTTGTGCAGCACTTCTTTTTGCAGGCCCTGCCTGAGGGTCTCAAACATGACCTGCAACAGGTTATAGGCAGCCAGTGAAAGATGTTCATCCTCCCGCTCTAGCACAGCAAAGAGACGTTGAGGCCCCAGGTCTCTCAGAATCACCACTGTCTGTAAGAAAAGTACCCAGCTTTGAGACAGGGGAAGGATCTATAGACCCATTTTACCTATCTTCCTGTTGTAAAACCAGCTGCTCCTCTGAAATTCAAGTCTAACTAGAATTGCTCTGGAGGAGGCAGGCACTGCTTCTCAAAGTCCTACAGAAGCAAAGTCTTGGGACCCAAGCCGGTCAGGCTAAGGAAGTGGGGTTGATTTTTCAACAGCACAGTGAGATCCAGTCCCCACCATACAAAAAGATCAGAGTTCAACCACGCTGGTGTCCATTCCAATATGACAAGGAATCACCAAGATTCTGTGAGCAACACAAATCCAAAACTATTTCCCAGAACTGAGCTGCCGAACGATGTGATTATCTTGCTCTTTACCGAGCCCCTTTGCTAGGTCACAAAACCAGAGGCAAAAAGGAGTCTGGTCAGCACAGATGGTTTCATGAGTTCCTAGCTCTGTGCAGGAAGTGTTTCAGGAAAGACACCCCCCCCACACATGCTAAATATTTGGTTAGATACTCCAAGGGAAGGTTAAGTGCTGTTAGCAGCAAAGCACCATCCTTGAAACAGTCAGGAAGTAAACCACGTGAGTCCCCAGCTCTGAAAAAAGTCATCTTGCAGCAACCCTTACTCGAGAACAGTGACCACGGCAGAGGCCAGTGAAGGTCCGTAAGGCTGCTATCATCATATCCAAACGGCCTGTGTCCAAGAGCTGCAGCAGTAAGCACACTCCATCATTCTGGAAAATTTTCTCGGCACCAGGCTCCTCTCGAGCCAGAACTATCAGGTTCTGAGCTGCCTGGTCAGAAAAAGAACACGTGTTTAGCTACCTAAACTTTCCCTGTTCATACTGATTTATACTGCATTGAGAAATCTTGACCCATCAGATGCCCACCTCTTGCTACACACTGACAGGAACAGACCTACCAGCCTAAAGCCTCCTGCCTATATTGGGCTTCACCACCCATAAATCCAAGCCAGAGAAGCCATTAACTAATGAGATTTAAAGTCTGGTATTACTTCAAACCAGGAAAGGCTGCTATAGATCCTTTGGGGGAGGGAGTGAAGGAAAATGGGGCTTGGGGTCAAGCCTCAAAGCTTATGACCCATTATCCTGAGACTGCATGCTCACTTACCTACCGACCGCCCCTACCCCCTCTATTCCCACAAGATTATTATTTCCATCTGTGGCACAATATTCAAGTGAAAGACCAGCTAAAGGGATGGAATATCTGCTAAGCTGCAAGAACTTGCTACGTATTCTCGCTTGTACAATTCTGCACTGCTTCTACACTCTCCCCAGCCCACCTATCGCTTCAAATTGCAAAACTTCCTCTGGGACTTTCAGAATAACAAGTTCATCAGGCTTCATGAGATGCAGAACACTTTGCCCACTCCATCACCAAGGAGCATCCTAACCTCCTCTTTCTCAGCCCGTACCTTTTGTTTCTTGTCCTGATCCTTTTCCTCACTGTCCAGCAGCAGCTTAAACATGGCTTCTACTTTTGAGTCAGTACAGCTCATGACTTTCACCTGAGACGAGAGGAAGAGACAGGCCAGTTTAGAGCCTTACCTTAAAGCAGCCCAGAGCGCCAGCCCATCCCCAGAGCCTCTCGGTACAGCGGGGGCGGAGGGAGCCCGGGGCCTACCTTCTCCTGGGCGCTGCTGCCAAGGTCGCGCAGAGCCTCCTGGAAGGCCTTGTTCTTGGGCTCCAAGCGCACACAGCGCTGCAGGTCCGAGGCGGCCCGGTCGAGGCGGCCCAGGCCCCGGAGGGCCTGGCTGCGGCGGAAGAGGCTCTTCACGTCGTGCCCGTCCAGCTCCAGAGCTGCAGAGACCAAAAGGGAGGCGGCGTTTCGGTGGCGGGGCCGCGGGGAGAGCGACCGGGCGCGCGCGTGGGTGTAGCGGGCCGCTCACCTCGGGAGGC